TGCTTAACTTTTTCCAGGTGTATAGAATCAAGAAGCAGTTACCACAGTATGTGGAAAAGGCAAACATTCTTAAGCATGTGATAGACTGTAGTGATAGTCCAGTAACTATCTAAAATTTAAAATTATCAGAACTGCAGAATGTGACTATTCTTTATGAATCAAAGAGACCTTGGCCATCAAAAACTTTGATCTAGAATTAAATAATACTGGTGAGCTTCTTTTGAGAGTGTAATATAAACATTAAATAACTATTAAGTATTTGTTAAAATAATTGATTAGCAATCAATGTTGTAAGTCAGAGTGAGAGAGGAGAGGCTTGTCTGATGGATATGACAAATTTAGAAAAGTAAGAGGTGCAAATTTTAGATTATTGCATGTACTTATGTGCAGTTTGTGTTTATAATTGGTTGGAAACTGCAGCAGTCTATATTTGATGTTTGAAAATTTTAGTGGAGGAGAAGTCAGATCTTAGACACATCACAAGAAAGAGAAAAATGAAAACTGATAATCTTTTTAATGTTTCTTTTTGAAATAAAGAAGTTAAAACTAAGATAATATAAACTATACTGGGGCCCCACTGTAACAAGGTTCAATATAGCGTGGAACTCAATATAATGCAGATCCATCTTGGACCCAAAAATTTTCATTTAAAATTTATCCTTTCAGAATATATTTCCAGTCTTTTTTTTGTGATGTGTTGAACATTGTTGAAGTATAAATGCTTCACAAATGAAAACTTCTGACAGATAATACTCATTGCCACCCAACTAGAAATTCAGTAAAATGAAACTTTATTGTCAAATTTCTCATTTCAGATCACACTTTATATGAGAAGATGAATTTAAATAAACATGATATTTGATTTTCTGAATCTGAATACCACACAAAAAAATTTTTATAACAGTATGACTAACAATCAAACTGTTAGGTAAAACTATCTATATCTCCATATGCATGTTTATAGTTATTTATGTATTGTAAGCTTACTGGATTCTTTAGAAATTTATAATACGTTCACTAACTGAATACAGTACCCAGATTCTTTCCCCAAAAAACTACCACATCTGAGGGATGTAAGCAACATGTAATAAAAGTCCAATCTTTTATTTAACTTTGTAGAAACACGAAATGATATATTTCTTAGTACTCTATATTTGTCATATACTAGTTTTACAGCTTAAAATCAACATGAAATCATTTTAACAAACCTTTAAAAATGTGTTAACTAAATTATTATAACAATGCCATGTAATGATAGAATAATATAAGGCCAACAAGGGACTATTTGACACCTAAGGTACTCCACTAGTAACAAAGGTTCAGGTTGACTGGACTCCATTAATAACTTTTTGCTTTCCCTGATCCAACCATCCCTACAACATATTTTAATTAGTTTTCCCTGACCCCTATCAATTTGATTTTCTTTGCTAATCTTCCATGTGGCATATTCAAAAATCTAAGAAAACTAAGTTTGCTTCTTTTCCATCATCCAGATAACAAGTAACATCCTCAATAAAAGTTAACAGACAAGTAAGGCATGATTTTCCTTTGGTGAATCCATGTTGGATTTCATTTATATCATATTTCACAAAAGGATTTTGTAAAGCTTCTTTTATCAGACTCTCTACAATTTTTCCCATAAAGTAAGATTAAATGGTTAATAATATACAGGTCAACCATTATGACTCCTTTAAACTCTTTTGCTATGGCTGGTTCAGAGTGCATATGTCATGACCTTTTACGGTGTTAGATTCAAATTTAATAAAACTACTTTATTATCAATATATGTTAATAAAATTTGTATAAAAATATATACTGGGGTCCTGTTATAACATGGTCCATGGGGTCCATATTGCAAGACTGCATTATAGGTGAGATCGCATTATATCAATGTCCTATTAAAAGCACCAAGCCAATTTCATTGGATAAGCCCCTTAATTAGTCATGAGGCTGCCATCTCATTGATTTGTTCTAAATCTAATTATACGTTTTATTACCAAACATTTTTTATTAAAATAACAGTGAAAGCATAACTGATAATCCAGCAGTTAATAAAGAATGCAGCTTTCTGAATACTAAGATAAAATTATATGCCAGTAACATTAACAGAAACTTACAGCAATCCAAAATCTACCGTAAAAGTGAGTGATTTTATCATCAAAATAAAGGGGAAAAATGTAAAAGCAGAAATGTGTAAAAACTGATTTCTTTCTAAGGAAATATTAGACAAAGCCCTAAAAAGCTGAACAATTGTGTAACATAGTTTGTTCTTCCAATATGTATGTTAGTTTGGTAAATAGTGCAAAACCTAATGAGTTAGATCATAACATATAGATAAAACAAATGGGTACATGTATAACACTGGAAGAAAAACTAAAGAAGAAACAAGGTATCTGAAACTAAAATAATAGGGGTTGCATTTTCACAAAAAATAAAGATCCACACAATTATGGAAGGTCTATGCATTTAGCATATGCAATTATTTTATTTTGTTATAATTAAATAAGCGTTTCCGATGTCTTATCATAGAAGAAAATCTCTGTACTTTCAAAAGAGAAATTATTTTACACTAAAAATTATCAGTAAGGAAGAAACTTCTGTAGAAACTAAAACAAAACACTTTCTCAGGTCTATGGTTCATTCCAGTCTTCTAAACTTCCCATTAGGTTCCATTGTTCATCTCTGCAAGAGCTCTGTTTTGTCAGTTTCCCCAAGAAACATAAATTACTTCAAAGCACTTTTATTTACTCTACATTGACACAAATACAATTATTCAAATATTGCCCATAGCTATTTTCAAAGCTGTGCTTCATTAGTCATTGTTCAGACCAAGTGATGTGACATCATGAAAGGGTAGGAATGAAGCCTGTAGTAATAAAATAATTTACAGAGCAGAAAAAAGAAGATATGAAGAATTATATCCCCAAGGGATGATAGATTCTTAGCAAATTTAAACATGTACTTTGGGATGGGCAGAAAAATTCTAAAAAACTAATAAGCATATTTCTTATATATATAGATAAGACTACAAAATTCCTCTAGATCTCTACAGAAATTAAATTTGGGGCTATTTTTTTTTATTTTTGCAAATTACACTAAACAAAATGCTGCAAAACTACAAAGTATCAATTCTAAACTATTTTTGAATTAAAAATTTCTATATATAACTTTATATGCTGTCATACAAATTTTACTGAACCTTGTGCATTTGCAATATGCAATTTTAACAAGTAAATGTGAGCTGCAAGTTTAAAATACAAAATAAAACTGATAACATTTACATGAAAATATCTTAATTTGACAGTTAAAGTCACAATGTCAATATAGCAACCAGAATAGAAAAGACTGGTGAGAATGGTAAGACAAAGGGACACAAATATAAATTTTAGCAGGTAGGAGTCATCTTCAACTAAGAGAGTCTTACTTTTCTAACAGGGTGGTTGGTCTTTGGAATGGGTCACCATTAAATGTGGTGGATGCAGTAAATCTAGGAGAGTTTAAGGGAAACTTCATAAATATTTATATAAAGACTAGCTTTGAGGGCTTTTTTTAAAGTTTAGTTTAGCTGATGGAACAACCTTGATGGACCAACAAGCCCCTTGTTCTTCAATGTTATGTCGTGATTGTTAAATAAAAGCATCGTTTGGACATCCGAGTTATTATTTTGGCAATTATTTGATAAATTAATGTAATTCTAAGGATGTTATAATGCTAAAGTTGTAAAACTATGGGAGAAAAAACACAAATACTTACTATCATGAATGTATCGAGTTATTTCTTCATGTTGTGGCGTTATGTTTTCTTGATTGCTCTTCTGAATGTGAGATCTCCTACCATTCACTTGTTGAAAAACTGGCTTAGGAGAGCTGCAAATATATGTAATAAAATAATATAATTAAAATATTGTATCTATGGGGTTTAAACACCAAAATGTTACAAATACCAAAGTAAAAACTTGGACCATTCATGCCAAATCTTATAGGAATAAATACAACTGCAATATGTAAACCTTCTTATGTTATTGTAAAATAATATACAACACATGATCAGAAACTGTTAGCCATAAAGAAAAATTATTTACAACATAGGAAAGCATCTCATTGCTATTAATCTTCTAACAATGGTAGTCAAACAGAAAGTAATGTATCAAGTGACATACACCATCAAGAATGGTGATAAGATACAGAATTAAACATTTTAAACATACAATTACCTTTGTGACAAACTAATAAGACTTCACATCCATATAAAAACACTAACGATAAAATTAAGAACTGTTGGAATTACACTCAATACTATATGACTTGTTAAACATTTGAGTTTATAAATAGCTAAAAGAGTAAGAACTTTTATTAATATATTTTAACAGAATTGCTATGAAGGTGTTTTAGAAAAACAATGAAATATGTTAAGTTTCAGAAAATTTAATCAATATTTTTGTAACATAAGAGACAGTTATTCCAAGCTTCATTTATGTATTTTGTTCTGTGTAAAAGCAGCTTGTGTACATGTTATGACATATTTCTTTGTGATTAGAACATGTCTCTCATCAAATAGAACAAACTCTCACTGTGTTCTTTCATTCCTCTGGTCATGCTCTTACCATGATTTATTTTAGACAGGTCACCATTATCAAATATGGTGGACAGTCTAGGTTTAAATGACAAGTTGATGAGTTGAAATTATCTTCATGTTTAAGTGATTCCATAAACAAAATTTAATAATATAATGCTTCTAAGTATTTCAGAGAAATAAATAATTTAAAGTAACAACAGCACAAAATTACTTATTTGGAGGATAATATTTACTGAGTAAAGTTTGTTGTTTTCAGCATTCATGATGATATGACCCTAAATGAAAGCAGTTCTGGTGCATATTTGGGTTATGCTCTGAATGACATGAAGAAACAGACCTTTAGAGTTCACTTCATATAATCACAACATACATTACCTATGAAGAGAAACTTATGATAGACACTTATAATAAAATTAATGTTCTCAAATAAGAATATTTACTTGATTTTTGCATAACTGAAACAAAAAATAAATTATGATAGTATAATTAGTTGGAAGAAAAGACATGTTTTAATTTTACTTAAAATTGTATATTGTAATTATATATATATATGTATATTACTAGTTACATGGACAGACAACAGACAATACTATTATATTTATATAGATTTCAGCCTTAAGATGAAATTTTTAAAAGTAATAAGCTTGTAAGGTACTTGCATACTCTTACACTGAGAGCTATAATCAAAGTCAACATAACAGCAATTCATGATGTCAGAAAAACATGTGGGTTCAAGAAGTCTTGATAGAAATGAATAAAAACCCTATAACCCGAGCACTTTCGAAAGGTGGACCTGTCTTTTTCAGTTCGAAAGTACTCGGGTTATAGGTGTTTTATTCATTTCCAACATAACAGCAATTTCATTCTTTTTAACTAACTTGTCATAGCAATTACTAGACTATGCAACACATGAAGTGGCAAAGTTAAGGTAGGTGTGTCATACAAGTTAAAAGTTGCAAAATAAGAATTATCTATTCACATGGAACTGTGAACAGAATACACATTATATTTTGTGTGAATAAAACTTATAGCCATAGATAAATAAAGATTACTATTCTGTTACTAGATCAAAGCTTAAAATAATTTCCACAATACATAAGATGATATTCTCTGATACAGAATAAAAGACATCAACAAACATCTTGGCAATTAAAATTTTGCTGTATTGCAATTGTTAGGTTTGAAAAAGGTTTTAACGTATTGGGACAAATTATAATTTGCATAAACCTTGTTTTCATGAAATACTCTCCTGATAAAACTCATTCATGATCAGTTTGAGTTTAAGGGAATTAATAGTTCTTGTACTTAGTGGTGAGAATGGTAAGACAAAGGGACACAAATATAAATTTTAGCAGGTAGGAGTCATCTTCAGCTAAGAGAGTTACTTTTCTAACAGGGTGGTTGGTCTTTGGAATGGGTCACCTTCAAATATGGTGGATGCAGTAAATCTAAGAGAGTTTAAGGGAAACTTCATAAATATTTATATAAAGACTAGCTTTGAGGGTTTTTTTTTAAAGTTATTATTTTGGCAATTATTTCATAAATTAATGTAATACTAAGGATGTTATAATGCAAAATTACACCATTCATCACTTTATATTTTTCTTCAGTTCATTACTTTATGGTGACAGAATATCTAATTTGTTCACACACACACAGAAAAAAAATCAAATCAATCCAAGCTAAAATTGCAAATAAGTACTTATCAAACAAATGATACAAGAAACATCAGTGGAGCTTCACAATGAGACTAAACTGTTTAATATTTGCATGTTTGCAATTTTGAAACATGCATGTCACTCTAGTCACCAGAATTTTGTGACACAATTGAAATCAAAAAGAGCTCCTAGGTGGAGTCTAAAAAACATTTTTAAAGAATGCTGAACTAGTATAAAAACCACAAAATATGAATAGACCTTGATACAACTTGTACCATATCATTTATTACTAATCACACAAGGCAGACTAGGGGGTGTAGATAAGCAAGACCCATTAAAACAAAACATTCCAAAGAAGCTACTGTTCTCATAAGAAATAAAACCAGTCATACAGAAAATATTTGATGAGGGGCACAAACTATATGAATATGCTTGTTCAAAATAACAAGACATACAATCATAATAATTAGAATATGTCCTTTAAAAAAACCATATCACCCAGGTTGGTAATTCCAAATATACAACATAGGAAATAAAGATGATTTTTTTTAATTTCCTAATATAGATAATGTTTTTTTATTGCCAATGATTTTAGGATATTTAGTATTTAAAAAAATAATCTAACTTTATGAAAAACTGAAAATGCTGCAAAAATGCTTTGCACCAATAGGAGATAAAGCAGATAGTTGCAACTAAAACAACTTGTAATCTCATCATAAAGCACAACATTTGTAGCTACTGAAGAAATTTATGCAGGTCCACTAAAATAGCTTCAGTACATTTAATGCAAATTTAACATTTCATTATTGATAAATGGCATATGTAACAACAATTTCCTTCTTCATACATTACGAATGCTCGAGATTTGTTCTATGTATATCTAAAAAAAATACAGATCTTTGTAGTTTTTGTACATAGCAAAAAATGGATGAATGGAAGAAAGCAGGCAGTTGTTATATATGGAGTTCAGTCAAAATGAATTAAAGTGAGGTACCTCAGGGCTCAGTGTTAGGATCGTTCCTTTTTTTTTATCATTTACACCAATGACATAGATGAAGTAATGGTCAATATATTGCTTAAAGTTGCTGATGGTAATAATGTCTTGGTTGTTGCTGACCGTAATAAGGATACTGCTGTTTTATAAAATGATTTAGAATATTTGGTGGGTTAAGCGAATAAATGTCAGATGGATTTCATTCTGATAAATGTAAGGTAGTGCATGTGGGTTATCCTAATCTAAATCATAAGTACAGTTTTGGTGGGAATAACCTAAAACAGTATTATGGTAGAAAAGGACCTTGGTAGAAAAGGTGTTTTGGTTGATCACTCTCTTAAGCCATTCAAATAGTATGCTGCTGTTAGTAGCAAGAAAAATAGGATTTTAGGTTGTATCTACAGAAATATTAAATGCAAGTCTAAAAAGGTTATAATTTAATTGTCTATGTTATTGGTTAGGCTTCACTTAGAGTACTGTTTTCAGTCTCAAGCTTCTTACCTTAAAAAAGGACACTGAACTGTTAGAAACGGTTCAAAGGAGGGCTACTAGGAAATACCTTGGATGAAAAGGTTGTTATATGAGGTCAATTTAAGCTCTCTGAAAAACAGTTAAGGGGTCCGATTGAGATATTTAAGACTGAGATTACTGTTTATACTGGTGAGGGTAAAGGGGTGGATTTGGTACATCTGGAGTTTCTGAAAGCATTTTACAAGTTGCCACATAAAAGGCTTGTAAAGAAAATTATCTCTATAGTTGTGGAGGATAAGATGGCCCCTTGGATTGAATGGTTATATGATCACCCTGGATGAGCAGAAATTTTCTTCAGACAAATTTATTCATATACATAATTGTCTAATAGGACAAGTGTAAATCCACTGATCTAAGATTTATTCTTATCAATAATATGTTAAATAAATGAAACACAGAGCATAATTTACAAAAAATAAGATATGGTTATTTTCCTTTGTTGGTACCATAATACAAGTTCTTTCTGTACTGAGTTGTTTTACAAAGAAGTGCCATGTTACAACCAGCATAGAGACATGAATTTTCATTGGTTGGACTTGTACTGCATTCAATGTTAAGATGTAAGTTTCAAACTTATGGCTCATGTTGTGGTATGATACGACTTACTATGTGCTCAACTTTTATCATATTTCAGCCATTTGTTTTCAGAGAACAATCTGTTCTGACAGTTCTCTTTGGCTGTAATTTTGAATTTTTCAATCCAGGTTTCTGAATCTTTAGGCCTACTAGAACTACCAACAAAGAAACTGGACAGTGTATGTTGGTTTGCCAGCTATATCAATTCCAACCTCAAATGAGCTCAAAATGTTACTGACTGTTCCAGTAATTTGAACATTTATATATGTTGAATTCTAAGTGTTATGCAAGTTGACTTATATTTAATTCTTACTCAATTCTCATGTGTTGTGCATAAAATAGCACTAATAACCTAAGTTGTATGATTATAGTATACAAGCAATGTAATCATTGGCTGTACAGGAATCCTCAAATGCTTTATACATAGATTCAGCTAGGTGCTCTATAAACTATTAATCGTGACAACAGAAGTCAGGAATTAAATTATTGGAAACATAACGAGGTTATTTACTTGACTTCTGTCAAAGATTAA